ATAGCTGGAGCAATTAACACGTAAGTTGATCAAGAGTCTTCGCGTCTACCTCATCACCAAAAGGGATGGGGCACTGATAACCTCCCATGACAAGCGGCTAGAACACCAGGTGAGGCACTTCGAAGCACAGTTCAACTGACTCAGAGCAATCCCTCATTTCTCCAACATCCACCCTGAACCTGAATGTGACATAAATGTCGGTCCTTCAACTCTCCATGAAGTTAAAAAGGCTGTATCAAACGTGAAACAATGCAAAGCAGCACGACCTGACAGTTTGCCACCTGAAGTTTTCAAGGGTGGAGACAGGAAACTGTTGATTAGAGTGATGGAGGTACTAGGCAGTGTATGGGAATCAGAGATAGTGATCACTGATCATCCCAGTTAATAAGAAGGAGGAGAAATTTTACTGTAACAACCATAAGGAAATTAGCTGACTAGTATTGTGTCAAAGATCCTAAGGTCCATAGTTATCTGGAGCTCAAGAACAGCAAACTCGATAGAACCAGTCGGGTTTTAGACCTGAACGAGAGTGCACTGATCATATATTTATCATACGATAGGTTCTGGGACACAGTCATGCCCACTGGCCAGTGGCCGACATTTGCTACACTTGTTGACCTGAAGGCGGCATTCGACTCGATCGACTGTGAGGTGTTGTGGGAGTGTGTGAAAGTGAAGGGAGTACCGAGGGAGCTTGTAACACACCTGAGATTTCACTCTGCTATGTAAGGGTCTATAGAGAGAGTTGTTATGTTAATTGACGACAACTAGTGGTGTTCGCCAGGGATATAAGCTGTCACCATCCCTATTTAACTTCATAGATGCAGTAATGGACACAACCTTAGTTACGTACGTATGACTTCATCACAAAGATTGACCTACTCCAGGGAGGACATATGGTTGCCTTGGAGTATGCAGACGATATTGTCCTGTTAGGTGACGGCACTGACAAAATTCAGGGTCTTCTGAACGCGTTGAGCAGAAATCTGAATATGTTTGGCATGCATCTCTCTGGCACCTGTACAATGGTCTACAATCACTCTGAGTGTAATGACTGAGTGGTAGAATATGTCTACCACTTCACTTACTTGGGAGTCGTATCGGTTCGAACGGGGTAGTTGTTGACGTAATCTCAGCTCGGATACACAATGCCTGTTTAGCATTTGCCAACTTGCGTCACCTGTGGTGCCAATTGGTGAGATATACGATTATCTGTCTAGCAAAGGACGAGTATACTACACTGTAGTCCATTCTGTCTTATTATACAGCTGAGATATGGCTGTTAAAAGTAGAGGACATGAAACGGTTGTAGGACGTTGAGCAAAGGTGTCTTCATAGTATTGCTCATGGTTGGTGGAATCATCATTAGAGCAATATTGAAGTCAGGTAAAGGGTACTAGACAAAGCAACAGGCAAGTCGATTGATGAAGTTGTAAACGTTAGTCGACTGAGATGACTTGGATATGTACCGAGTGTACCGAGTCACCACCTACCTCAATGTACCATGCTAGGGGAAGTTGGATTAGATTGGAAGATGGTTCAGAGTGACGAGATCAAGATGTGGCACTAGTAGATGAATTCCCTGACTGTTCATCTGAGGAGAGTGTGAAGATGTGGACTATTTGGTTAGAGTTCCCGAGAAGAAATAAATCAATGTTTGAGGAATGTTGGTGACTAGCTGAAAACCGGTCACAATGGGGCAGATGTATTCAGGCTCTGAAGCCTTTCAAAGCTTGATTCTTTGCACTAACCCTTGTTTTCGAATTGTTTATTCTGTCACACGACTTTGCCTACTTTGACATCACTCTGTGTTTCGTTGAATATGTTCTCTGTTAACTACTGTGAAGTGTGGTAACTTGAGTCAGTGCACTTGTGATCGAGGTTCTAGGTTAATTTTGTCAGTCAGTCATACGTTTTAAATATGTATACTGTGCATCCAATGTGCTGAGGCTATACGCAGTCTCACATCGATAGATAAGCTCTTAGTTATGACGCATATGAAAGCAGATGCTTAAGAAATATTACTTGATACTTAGATGAATATTAGGGTAAATGACTGCAAGTCACTAATTTATCTGATATCTGTCAACACCCACAGACCATATTTCACCCCTATCACACTAGATAACATGTGTACCTAGCGAACAGACAGACAGACAGAATCAACGTAGAACCTCACACACAATTATATCCGTCCAAGTTACCACACTTCATAGCAGTATACAAACAACAGGTGAATAGAAAAAGAGTGATATCAATGTAGACAAAGTTGTGTGGCAGAATAAACAATTCGAAGATAAGGGTTAGTAAGAATACACAAGCGCTAGATGTCAGAAAGTGAATACATCTGCCCTATTGTGACCGATTTCCAGCCATGTCACCAAGAGTTGTCAACCATTGATTCCCATCGTCTCGGGGACCTCAACCAAATAGTCTATACCTTCCCACACGGCTCAGACCAATAGTCACAGACTTCATCAGCTGATGGTAGACTTTGACCTCGCCATCCTGAACTCTCTTCTGACTCAATTTGCGAATAGCTTTTAGAATGGTGATAGTATCTTTCTCCAAGGACTGTCATCTGTCAATACGAAAAGCAAAGAGGAAACTAATATGAGAGTAAAACGTGAGCATTGCGGTAGGTAGTAATTCCATTTTATTAGACATGTAACACACGGGAACAGTGTTATGCGCTGGAATCACTCATCATTTGTTCCAGATATTTTACTTAGATCACGAAAGAGGAGAGACTATTAGAACTATATAAACCATGTCTAGAAGTTACGGAGTTGCCTTAGTATGAATATGGGCCCGGCGGGAAAAAGAGAATTACGTAGACCTGGCATCTTATGCAAACTGACTAGAGAAGACCCTCTACAGCGCATACAGTTCTATCCAAAAAGACTTAAATTCTTCTGCTTTAAAAAATGGATAACCATGTTGTATATTCAGGTAAACTTTCAACTAGGATTATATGGTTTGAACTAAAGCTTCGAATATAAAACTTTTGTTCTCACATGGTTCTACGACTCATTATATTCTTTACTATCCCAATATCGTCTGCAATTGGAACTAGTTCCCTGCATGTATAAGTCACCTGATGAGTGGACACAAACCAAAATATTCTCAGCCATTCTACTGGTGCCTTTAGTAGCTTTCAACTCATGTATTTATGCCGTTAAGTAACCATTCCATAGTAAAATAGATTACAAATGCTTAGCAAAGACATCTAGGCCAGAAAATGAGTAATATGCTTTATAGTCACATGATTGTTGCCTTGAGATGACAAAGTATAGTGTAATACCAAATAAAAAATAAAAGGTAAGACAGTTTGTAAAAGTCAGTAAACATTAAAATGACCGTTTTTGACCTGGCGCTTTTAAAATATGTGCATTCTACGGAAATATAACTATTTAAGTTCCATGAGTTTGTTTGCATTGCTCCGCTTGTTCTTACAAACTATAAAAGTAACTTTATATGGATAAGCAAGCTCTGTATGAATCTCCATCATTTTAAGAACTAAATTTACAACTGACTTGTGATAAGTTTCCAGTCAACCACTGCAGCATATATGCAGCTTTGAAGAAACTAATATTCGCTGTGCGATTGTACATTCTATCGAAAGACTTCAGTTGTCACTTAGGACCTGAGAAATATATTGATTACATCACGGTAACCAATTCACAAACAGCATATGTAAATTGTATTTTTAACGCCCAGAATAACTTAAATTTCTGGGATTTTCATCTCAAGTTGAAAAAACTTTATATTGTTGAATGTGCATATGACGAACGATTTGTCTAAATTATTTACCAGATGATCAACATTGTAACCTCACAGTTCCGTGTACTAACTAGATCCTGCTAATAAAGTAATGAAATAAGAATATTACAAGTGGATGTTATTTGATTAGAGGCATTCGGCAGGAAGCCTTGGATCTAGGTTTTATGCTTGTTGATACACGTCGGTAATGCGTATCTGCAACCTCGATGGAAGTGATGTCTTCTCTGAGAATCAAACCTGCATTATCCAGTGTTGTAGTCAGCGACATTACTACTAAGCTATTCGAGCCACGATTGACCTCCAGGAGGCGGCCAGATCGTAAATGATCTATAGAATTTGGTCAGCACTCAAGACTAAAAAACAAGAAACTGTTTGCCCTCCAATGATCCGTGAATATAATATTACAACAAACTTGATTAACACTATTGTGAGCTTGATGTTCGGAGAATGAATACTGTTGACAAGAATCTTGTGTCCGCCTCTTGAACCGTCAAAACTCCTCATCGAGATATAACTGTAAATATGAATAAGCGCTTCCGACCTATGAGGTTTGAATCCAGGCTAAAAAAGTGGTTACTGAAAGGTTATTACTCCGGTCATTAGTAATTGACTTGTTTCTAGCTTAGTAGATACTAAGTAAAGTTGGTTTCTAGAAGAAGGGTATTTATCTCTGATTCGAAGCAAGGTTACAATGTTATTGACACATGAAATCACTTCTAAGTTTACAGTGAATTCTGTGAATAATGCATTTATATCAAGTTCTACTGACATATTTGTCGATAAAAACTAATTATTGCAAAAAAATTGCTTAGCGAATACTTTGAGCCAGCTAGCCAGTCTGCTTACTGTTCTCGAGCACGTTTTGTAGGTATACGCATGATACAGCCAATGTGCTGAGCTCCACCGAAACAAGTAAGCGTACTAGAGAGCACTAACTAGTCTGGCTAGCGAAGGGAGAACGGAAATGCATCTTCAGCTCAATATGTATGAAAGACAATCTGATACAGTGTGCTACATCAATATATGTATACCAGTTTACTTGTTCTTGTGCAGTTGAGTACATTCACCATACCATGCCCTCGCTTGTAAAACGTGCTCGGGGAAGCTACCCACACTGGCTAACAATTATCTATCATATAAAATGATTACAACTTCACAAATATGATACCGTAGGTATACAAAAGAAAGTAATGAAGAGAGTTTATTTGATAACTTACAATAAAATAGGAATTGTTTCTGCTTACTGACCATTCATCGTCATATATTTGTTCATCGGTTAAAATTTGTCTTACCGACTAAAACCAAATCAAGATAAATAAGAAAGAAGGTAGAAAGTATTCACGACAAAATTACAGTGAATTTTTGCAATGAACAAATCAACAAATTTACAGTTTAACAAACCTCAGTAGACAGGTGGATCCAAACAAAATACAATCTGTCATTACTATGTAACCGTTCACTCTGTATCAGCACAAAACGTCGAAAAGGAGAGGAAAGAAACAGAAAAGATACCTGTGGCTTTAAAACGCGATTAGAACAAAAAAAACAGAAAAAATGCAGCCATAACGACAACTGATATTGTTATCTAACTAAAGACATGGTATGAGTGCATCTGCTCCATTGAGATTGGTTCTGAGTCACACAATCTACAGTTTACAAACATCGATTTAACTTCAATGGTCCCAACTGCAAAATAACATTCCTTAACTGACTCCTATGTTAAATAGAGCATAGCATCCGAGTAGACGGAGACAAGTTATACGTAGTGTGTATTCTATTCGCTTCAGTCGATAAAATCCACAACTTTGTCAACTGACTTGTCCCTCTTATGAACATTTCCATTCCTAACCCATGAATCGTCCATTTATTGGTTCCATCGTGTGTGAGAGACACCGTGAAAGCAACAGTAATCAAAAATTCTGAAATGTTTACAAATTCTTCACCTTTAACTGCTATTTTACAGCCATAGAACAAGGGAATTTCCGAAAATTAGCCCTGCCCCTAAAAGTCCATCAGATATCTTGTCAGTGAAGAAAATTATATGGAAGCCAGTTTTCGAATTATCAGACCATTAAGGAAATCAGAAACAGTTTTTGCACGCGTCATCTTTTCATAGAACTTAGTTTCAAAAGTACTATAGTAAAACTGTAAGCATTGGATTTCCCAAAGTCAGCAGATGGAAAAATATCTATGAAGATGTTTCAGCTAACGTCTCAATCACTGAAAAAGTGAAAATCAGGTTGTAAAGCGACACAAGTGTATATTCACTGAGTCTCCGTCTATATATATAATCAATAGATGGCAGGTAAAATTTCATAAACACCTTATGAACTCAATATATCTGTACAAGTTCATCGGTCATGAAGGAAGGCAAAACCAAGGCATAACTGAAGTGGGTTTATCTTTTTTTCGGGGAAAAATTTAACCCCCTGCTCTTACACTGATATTTTATTAGTCATAGTTTACATTGTTTCTCCCATCTAATCACGCCATTCAAGATTGCCTAAAGCTGTGAAGAAACCGCTTATTTTGTTGCCATTCAAACCGACTGAAAAGTTGAGAAGATGCTCAAAATTTTGAAGAGATATAGTATTTAGGTCTGATACAAACTTCGAGCATGGGTTAACATTGAGTATAAGAAGGAAGGGTTCAGAAAAACATATTGTTAGCCATTTTCATTTTAGTTTGAGTTATATTTTTAGGCTTCTACTAGCTATGAATGCAAAGAATAATTACACTTGTTAGGACACTGTTTGAACGTGAGTCTACATGTAGAACTAATTTATCTATATATAGGAATATGAGGGTAATGGTTATGTGATAAAATTTAGCCTTCATAGTCTTGATTATAACGAAATCACGTGTACATAAGGAAGTAAGTCGCAGTGAATAAAATCCCGCTACCTATTCACCTAACACACGGATCTTAAATAAGCCAGGTTTATTTGAAAATATGATCAAAGACGGATACGTTATCGGATAGTAATCTGTTTCACAATCCAAAAAGGACTGTTAGATGAAATCTACCGGTAGAATTATGTACTTTGGCGACGACACTGCTGTGATTAGAATCACTATTATCTAGTTGTAGAGAGTCAACAAGGAGTTGTAAACTTTAGTTTCACCCCTTATCACTAGTCGGTAAAACATATGAGTTTGAATCCTAGGTTAAGCGAGCCTTTCATTGAAATACGACACAAGCCATGTTTATAGATGACAACAAGCAATAAATTTTTGTGTTACGCTTTCCTGTCAATTTTAGAAAGGCATCTAAAGATCAAGTATTGAGAAGGGTTTAAAAGATGTAGGAAAGGTTAGTGCTACCACTTAGGAAAGTGCTAAGACATTAAAACTTCCAAACGAGATTCGTATCTCATGAAACGTAAATGAACAAATTAAGAAAAATGATTGTTTAATGAATTTTTCAGAAAAAGAAATTTACTGTACAGCAAACAATGATTGCCTTATTACACATTATAAAGCATCTCTAATATGATAAGTCACAGATCTATCCAAGAAAAATTTGAAATATAACTAAACTGAAGCTGAAATTCAAGGCAACTATGATCGAAAGTTTCCGTTTTTATTTACAGAAGAGTCAACCTAGTATAACCAACTATGTGATTTACAGTATTAACAAGCAACTAACCAATTTCACTTTGATAACATTCATTAGGAAAGTCAAGGTGTGTACCATTGTGACTTGATGGCCTCAGGAGTTATCATAAACCAGTAATACCTTTTGCCCTCGATATATATTTATTCATTTATGTACTTGTTAAGCTTTTGTACTGTATGTCGTTGTCCTCACTAAAACAAGTATAGTTTACTTATGTACAGAACTCAAACTTTTTGCATGGAGCTGGATTCTGTAAATTCAGTTACGAATCAATATCGTATTTAATATTTGAGGTGACTTAGCTATATCTTTACATTGTGATGTCATCTCAGTCTATCACTACGCGTGAAACATGTATCTGTATTCTATTTGTTGGAAAATAACTGAAACTAGCAATTACTAAATAAGGAAATTTTTGGCTCAGTCGAGCAATTCCACCCAGTATAGCAACGGAAAATTACAAGGTTCTCGAAAAAAATAACAACTGGTACCCATTGCACAAATGGTGGCTTAGTGAGTAACACTTTGGCATTTGAAGCGAAAGGTACTAGTTTTGACTGTCAGTGGGGAAAACACTACTCACTGGGATGGACAGGTACATGCAGCTGTCAAGTCTGAAGTTGGACGGAACACGTATCCTGCATTCCAGTGCTGGACATCAAATATACTGCGATCGCCTCCCTAGTTTCAAACATTCTTCACAACTTCCCATTACTGGAATCTATAGACACATCTTCCATAAATCAAAATTCTTGGACCAACTTCCACTGCTTAGCTTAGACGTTCTAGCCGAGCTCATAAGTGACATGCTTCGAGATAACGTTCCTGAAGTTGTAGTGAGAAGTCGTGACTGATGGGCTAACCTTGTCGGCTGTGAGGACATATACTCAACGATGGTATTGGATGGAGGTCGCTGTATATTGTGAACTGATAGAAATAGGAAATGTGGATCACTGAATTTCCATCTAGTGACTCAACGGTAACGCACTGGCTGCCGAACTTGTAGGTTCGATCTCTAGATGGCAGGGTCATGGGTGTGCACTACCAAGTAGTCCCCTACTAAGAGAAAATGGCCATTTAGTGCTCTCAGGTTCCCAATGTTCCTCTTACTGATACCAGTTCATGATAAACATCAACCTGGAATCAATAAATAAATCCCCACAAACCTCTAAGCTGAATTACTTAAAAGTGCTAATAATACCCAGTTTTTAAATTGAAGATATATGAGCGAACAGTATTATTTGAAATCATGCACAATGCATCTCATTTCAGTGCATGATCAGTCTTCTGAGTTATGCAGTTAATGACCATAATAAACGCGTTTATAATCACAGTAGTAGTAATTATGACAATGATGATTAGAACAGTTAAATGAACACACAGAAATATTCAAATCAGGTCAAGGACTTGAAAAAAGATGAGTTGTGCTTACGCATGAAGGCTCAAGTGCATAATCAAAGTCTAAGAGAACATACAACTTATATAAGAGGGGTTAGTTGAGTAGTTATTCAGTGTTCTCTCGACTAGGACGGTTAGCTCAGAATAGCATAGTTTTAATTGTGCCTCGAAGACAATTTGAAATATGAAGTGATGATGCGGATTTTTAGCTCAAGATAAATTCGACCTTCAGTGGTAAATAACCTTGAATACTTTGGTTTTGTCTACCGTGTGACCACTATCGATCCAATGTGATAAGATTGATTTCTTATTATAACGTATTTCTCGGTACCAATGTTTATTTTTTTTAAATAAGGTGACTAATAGCAACCCCTACAGGGTTTAGGCAACAGATATGAAACCATCATACTAGGTAACTTATCTCTCACTTGAATAAAACGGTTGGGTGGTTAAAAAGCGATGAACAAAGTTGCGCTACACTACTTTTGACACAGAACTTAACTGGCCACATCTTCATTAGATTAGAGTTTCATGAAAGAGGGTTCGTTTTCAACGGTAAACGATTTTAATCTTCTACTTCATGTGTCCATGTCCGTGGAAGAGAATGATCAAATGGCACGGTTCATGCTGATACTTCTCACAGCTAAGTAGTTTTTTTTCCAACTACTCAACCGTGGATTCAACAGAGTTTCCACTGGAAATCATCCAGCCAAGATCTCAGTGTGTGATCTCTGACACAAAAGTGTGATGAACTGAACAAGTTGAGTAGTTAGAATCCACTCAGGCTGATTTTTAGTTTTCATCAGTTAAATCAGAGTAAACCAAACACCGGACTGCCGTTTCGCACGCGTGCGAGCTCACCAGCGGTGTACCCGAACAGACTCAACTCACGGAGCCCAGTTATTTCAGTGGTTTGAGTGATTTGAGTGGTTTCTAACTACTCAAGTTGTTCAGTAGTGTAGTATATTTTGTACATGGCCCCTTGAAAAAGTAATTATGAAAGCCTGATTTATTCTGTGCGTCAGCGACTTACTTTTTAAAGTCATGTATATAGTGTCTTCCTGGCCCTACTTGCACATACTCCGCTTACCTTCGTTTTGTGTTGAATAAGTACGAAGGTAAAAGGGGGTTTAGTGACCCAAAGATGCAATCTTCCTGTACATACTTCTGATGAATGAACTACTTTGTCCTCTGCTAATGATTTTTGTGAATAGCAGTAAGTGAAGGTTCAACAGTTCTTGTTAAGGTTAAGGATAATGACTATCATCGGTATGAAAA